AGAACATGGGAAGATACACCGCCAACCTCTCCCAGCTTCTCGACAGTTGGGCGTCGGAACTCGACTTTCGGTTCGTCCCGCACCGCCAACCCAAGGTAAATACTCTTTCTCTCCACTTGCTGCTGGTTGGTGCCTTGTCCACAACATCGGCCTGGTTCATTCGACAGGGCGAATTGAGAAGTCACTACGAGGGCTGATGACGACGACCTCTTCAAGAAGCCGCATGGTGGAATTGACCACCTCAACTGGCGGAGCATGACCATGAGGAATGGTACGACTTGGATCGTGCCGCGTATGAGTATGAGTAGCTAGGCAAGTGTGGTCATGATCTCACTCGCTGTCACGTGTTCCTTCCCTTCACACTTCACCGAGCTCCCCTCTCCTCGCTACTTTCCCGCCTTTTTTCCATAGCAACCGCGCAGCCCATACTGTTGATACTGCTTAGACCACCCATCCAACACCAAATCTACCTTTGCCATTGGCTTCRCCCTGCCCAAAAACCTCAGATTCGACTTTTAATTCCCTCGATTCCGTTCAGGAATGAGCGAGGTAGACCACTTTCAACTCTTTTMTTCTCCCCCCTCCTTCAAACGCACCTGGCGCTAGGCCGCGTCCAGGTTCATTCCTCCCTGTTTTCTTTTCTGTTTCTGCTGCTCCCCCTTTCGTGAAGCTGCGCTTTCTTGCACTACCTCTCTTCTTCTCCTATACTACCTCCCTCCCACTAGTCTGCGCTGCCTCCCTTCTCGTGCAACAGTCTCCATAGCAAAGGAAGAGCGAGCTCGTCCCCTCTATTTATGCGAGTCGGACTTGCCCAGGGGCCATGCTAATCTGCTCTGTATTGTTCTAATTTTAACGGATGTCCCGAAGGACTACGGTCGGACCCTGGTGTCTCAGCGGTTCGTGGGTGTACTAGGCTGAGTGGGCTCTTGGGTTCCATGGCGGGTCCCGGAGACTGGTGCCAGCCTCGTCCCAAATAAAAAAATAAAAAATAAAAAATAAGAAAAATAATAATAAAAACTCGGAGATAAAATGTACTAAAAAAAAATGGATGGGGGAGGGGACCCGCTGGCACCTGGTCCTTTCTTATGGGACCGCGGCAGACTCCCCTTAGCAAAACCAAAGGGGATAGTCCCGCAGGACCCTCTACCCCTTGATTTAACTTCAAAGCGCTCCTCCACTGCTCCGCTGCTCGTTGCTGGCCTCAATCCCGGGATCCGCCTGGTGACAGTTCACTGATATAACCTATAGGGCTAAGCCCCAGCTTGGGTTGGCTGTGCGCCAACCTGTATATAGATGGTAACTGTGGCCAGCTTGGGCCTGTTGCAGCAGCATTAAGGTTGCTGCGTGACTTTCCCTTCAATCCCAAGGCCCCGTACGTGCGCACATGTTGTTAGGGGTCAGATCTTGCTTGGTATGACACGCTAGTAACCCCTACACTGCCGCGTCTGGAGGCCAAAGTCCTCTGCCGCATGCGTCAAGGAGACCGCCCCTTCACTACCTCGTTGCCAAAGAACCCTGACCTTTGCGTATATGCAGCCTCGTTGGTAGCCTTTACTGCCAACGGCGCTTAGTCAACCTAGTGCTTTGCGTAACGTCACACAGCGAGGCCCCAAAACGCTGGTTTTCAATAAGTCGGGCAACACTCTCCTTTAGTCACCGTCTCACCTCGCCAACTCTGCGCCGTCCAAACTTTCGCCCGCGTGTGCGAGGTTGCGACTCCAACCCAGATTCTAACCTAACATTTAATTGCTCTATCGACGTCCCATAGTCTATACTAGTCAATCACTTGGTTAGGTTACCGCGTGCCCACAAAGTGCACACTTTCACACTCTCCAATCAACAAAAGTGGGGCGCGCCCCCAGATGTCGTCAAACTCGTTCCTCCTGTAAGCTGCAAATACGTGCCCAAATACCATTGTAAGGGTGTTCGAGCTGACAGTTTTCCGGACCTTATTAAGCGACGTCCCCGTCGCGTCGGACAATCAAAGCTATAAACACAACCACATCTGCTGATGAGGAAGTAACCACTCCGATTCATCGGCTCGACTCTGTTCGAGGTGCTCTTCTCAACCTGCTCCCGTCACGACGTTCCTCTGCCAGGGTTTCAACTTGGGTCTCCCACGTCCTGATCTCGGAGTTAGGGGATACTTTGTTCCGTACTACAACGTACTACCCGCTCCCAGGTAGTAGGTTGATAATCCTCTCCCTTCATCGTAGACATCTGCCGGTTCACCGTTGGATGTCTTGTTTAGTCATCGTCCCGGGACGGGGTCATAACTTAGGACGCGGACCCTAACCGAGACCTCTCAAAATACGGGGCACCTTTAGTCCCCAAATGGTAATGCTTACCATCTCAAATAGTCAATCATAAATAACGCCCACCTTGGAGTGTAACACAGGTGGCTTGATGTCTACATCTTGACCCACCATGGAACGGTCGATCCCGCCGAATCTGCGGCCCACCGCGTTGTTATGTAGCGATGGTGCTCTCGTTGGTTACTCAACGATAAACAACTCTTCCTATCTTGGTACCCCGAAGGGTCCCGACTCTTGACTTAATCGACCCCAATGACCTTCCCTCTAGCTAAACCTCTCCGGGTGGCCGACCCTTCAAGACTTAACCTTTGGTAAGCCATGGTCCCGCTGCCAGGTTGTACCGGTCAGCGGCCCTCGCTGGGAGTTAGGTTCTACAGTTGCAGCGATGCTAAGTATAGCCCCTTAGCTTGGCCTCACAAAATATGTCCCTGAGACTGACTCCACTGTGGTCTGACACTTTCTTCCAAAACTTTCAGAACAACCAAAGGGTTACATACCAACTGCGCACGGGACTACGTGGAGGGATAGTGCCTTTCTCAACCATTTCAACCAATTCCTCAGTAATTCCACAGGGTCGTGCCTCCCTCACTTTGATCAACAGTAGGCGAGGTCACACGTCTTTTAGGGACATCTCTCAACAATCTTCCTAAGTTTCATCATAATTACCAGAAATTTTCATCCATTACTCTCTCAAAATATTTGGCTTTTCCTCGTCATACTTTACGTATACACATAAATTTATCATCACTATAGCATCTCTTTTTAGTGCTCTCACAAATTTCATCCTTTTAAGAAAGTCCAATCGGCCATTGGGCTTTCCTCTCTCTTTTCCGAGCCATACAGAAGATACAACCTTGGTTGTGACCTTTCCATTCTTCCTCATTTCATCTGTTCAAAACACATTATGTCATCTCTTTCTCAAAAATATGAAGGGCACTTTCTCCCAGTATACTTTGGACTCCACGTGTCCCTAGGGCCCGGATGCGCAAATATAGCGGAAGAAAGCGCAGATCAATTCATTTCACACATTCACTACATCACACTATCATCGATATGGGCAAATCCACAACTGAGAGTGAGTGTAACACACCATACACAACAAAAGAACAAAGTTTGGGACTCACTTATGCACACATGATATGGGGCCCTGCAATGAGCAAAGACTCTTGTCCTCATCAAAAAATCAAAGTATTATCCAAAAAGTTCAGGTATCCATCAAGGGATCACAGTATCCAATAAGGTATCAAGGTATCCAAGCGTCAAAGTATCGACGGTCATCCCATACTCAAAAGCGTTACACTACTAAGGATGATAAGGAAATCATAACTTTACACACAGGTATCACGAGAATGCTCCACACCACGCTAGCGAAAAAGAGAAACTAATCAGAATTATACACAGTGTTGTCTTATGTACAGGACAATCTATAACGCAAAAGTAGACATCTCACAACTGGCTCAACTTGCTGATGTACATGGGTCTGATCCAATCCTCCATGTGTTCTCCTATATATAAGTAACCATCAGTCGGAGAGTCCGAGATGTCCCGCGTATACTAGACTCAAACCTTTCCAGACCTTATTAGAAAATCCTACTCCTGATCACTCATGACCTCCTGCAGCTGCCTATACAACTGCGCCCTTACCCCATCACAAGTTTTAGAAACTAGGACTCCGTTTCTATCTCTCCACACTCCGGATGACTCTCTGGTAACGAACTCATTTGCCTCGTCCTTGAGGCTCTTGGGGCAGTCGTCAGATCGATGCTTGCCCTTCTTGCAGTAGAAGCATTTGCCAATCTTCTTCTGCGACATCTTGTCTCCTTCCTGCGAGGGAACTGATGACGGGACTGTTGAGATCTTGCTCGTGACCTCCTGTAGTGGGACCTCTGGGGAAGTGGGGCACGTCGCTCTGTCGCCTATTGGCACCACCTGCTCGCCGACACGTCCCTCTGGCCCCGAACCAGTGACCCAAGATCCCAATGCGTCCCGCAATCCTGCCACCAGAGGCATATCCTAAGGTGCAGCCGAGTCCTGACATCCCTTCACTCTCCTGACCTTCCGGTCGCGTCACGGTCTCTCCATGAGTTGTAGGAGGAACCACTTCAGCTCTCATGGCCTCTGTCGGTGGCCTCTCTTCTGGCATCGCCGGTTCTTATCCAAGTGTCAGGCCAGCAGGCATCCTCCACTTAAACTCCCCAACCTCTGAGAGAAGGTTAACAACACTCGTATTTTTCATCACCACTTCAGGACAACCTTCACCACTTCAGGATGCAGCCTGCCTAAACAGGTGGTTTTTAGGGTCTTCGAACCTTTCACCACTTCAGGACCATTC